ACTTTTATGTAAATACTTATGTATCCAATAACAAAAAAAAAATCTTTCCAACTTTACGATGATTGTTAGGAAAGCATCAGCAAGATGAGAAAATGCATTGTGTTGTAATGTTAAATAAATAAAATAATATAAAATAAAATATAAAAAACTAAGCTCAAGAAAACTAAATTGTAATGACTAGAAATTTTCTCATTCTGAGCTTTGTAGCTTTTGTGGGTTGTTTTGTTGATTTCTAATTTTCATTTTTAAGATCAGCACAGGCACATCATTTCACGGCTTAAATTTCATTTTCATTTACAAGCTTCTCGAGGAAATTTGTTCGTTGACCATTGCGAGGTTGACACATGCATTCGCCTTTCATCTTCTTTTGAATCCAATCAAGATAGTTGACAACACGAGTGTAAATCCCAGGAAGGGATTTTCTGGCACAACCTGACGAGATGAAAGTAATCTTTGGGATTTATTCTCAAACTAATTTATTTTCTTATTTACCTCGACCCCATGAGACAATACCGACGATTTCCATAGATCCACTTGGACCTTCTGAGACCATTGGCCCGCCTGAATCTCCTTGGCAACTGTTGAAAGAATTTAAAATTTAAAAATTTGGTGTAGAATGAATTTTAAGCTTTTTTCACCTGTCACGTTGTCCCTCAGGATATCCGCCACACATCATATTGTCGGTGATTCTTGTTGTTCCATAACCAGCCATCAGACATTCTTCTTGTGACCAAATTGGAACAATAACAGAGCGAAGTGTTTGCGATGTCTGCGAGCGTTCTGACACTCTTCCCCATCCGGCGACAAGTGTCAATTGGTCTGTGAAATCTTCTTGTTCACCACTAGGCAAGCATGCTGGTGCAACACGTGAACTATAAAACAAAGGTGTGTCTAATTCTAGAAGTGCAATGTCGTTGTTGAATGTGAAGATATCAAAATTTTCATGCGGAATAATTTTCTTGATTCGTTTGATTTCCGTGTAGTCTCTTGAAATGTTATGACCGCCAACGAAAGCCTGAAATTTTCTTTCGATTAATCTTCATCAATAAATGTTTCATGTTGTTTAACTTACGCGAATCTCTCGAGGTTCAAAGGAACTGACGCAGTGTGCCGCCTATGAAAATCAAAAGGGAAAGAAAATCTCTTGAAAATGTTCTGAGAAATCCATAAATTATAATAACAAACCGTCAGCAAATATTTATTGGAAATAACTGTAGCACCGCAGTACAATTTATTCTGTTTGAATAATCCAGCAACCCAAGGATATTCATTAGGATGAGTTTCCGACCCGCCTACAATTTTCTGAGTGCGACCTCGAACACCGCAAACTAAAAATAAATCAAAAAGCAAGAATTATTACTTTTCATATTTTTTACGATTTTTTTTTGTTTTTTCAACTAGTAATAAATTTTTCTTTTTCAGATTTTGAAATTTAGACAAAAACAAAACTTCAAACTTGAACTAAATTTCAACACGCGCCGCCACTTGACAGTCTATTAAAGCCCACAGCACAGTTTTGCATTTTCCAATGTTTTGTTTGGCTTTTTTTTTTATTTTATTTTTGCCATGCGACATTTTAACATTTAAATTCACTTTGATATAAAAAAATTATTTTCATTCACAAGTTTTCCTTTTTCTGTAGTTTGATTCATTCATAAATGAAAGATATTCAACGAAATAAAAAATTCTTGATTATAGATGCGACAACGACAAAAAAACTTTTCATTCCATCACGTCCCACAAGATAGTCGCGCACACTATGCGGATTTAGTCACGATGTTGACAAGTTTAAATTATTACATAATTGCACTACGTTGCTAAATCGTTCACTCCTTGTGTCTTGTAAATTTATTTATTTATTTTATATTTTCGGGGCTTGTTGCAAACCGAACAAAAAAAAATTTGCAAAAAAAAACTTTCACTTTCGATCGTTTTCGTCTTTTGTTGTATGCGCCCTGAAAACTTAAAGCAAGAATTGCACGAAATATTTCATCTGATTGAAGATGGCGGGAATCAGATTTCTATGTTAAGATTCATTGAAATTTACCGCAATTGCATGTTGATGATGATTTTCCGGATGGCCATGCTGTGACGACTCCAAACGAGATGATTGTCAACACAATAATTCGAAACATTTTATTTTTTTCTCAGTTTAATTAAAAAACTTTCTTGCACTTCTATTAGCAGCAATAAAAAAATAATTTTTTTTTGCGAGTCTAGTGGGAAAACTAAGAACACTTTAGAACACTTCAAAAGAACTTTTTTCTATTTATCTTCTTTCCTGCGTAATAATTTTCCCAACTCAACTGTCAAACTCGCTCTGCTACAGTCTACTCAATGTACGTCTGGCTTTATATCTGGTTAAACTTTAAATTGCACGACAAAAAAAAAGGTGTATTGTCATCTACGAAAAATGAAGTTATATTTATTGTTATCGAAAAAATAAACCAACAAATATGAGTTGTTGGTGAGAGAACGCGTGTGTGTGTGTTTGGGGAACAAGGCGAGTGGCCTGAGAGCGCAGCAGACATTTTAACCGGGCTGTTGTGTGAGATACTCGAGTCTCGTTGGAAGAAGGGTGGGGAAACGCTTCAAAGGCCTTGCGTCCTTGGCACTAGTTACCAATATTGCTTGTTTCTGTTTCTGTATTTATCGAAAAGCTTTATGTTGTGCACACAAAACACAAAGAGTCAATGAATGTGAAAGTCGCGATTTTATCAATGAAATATTGCTTAGAGTTTTGGCGATGAGATTGTGCGTTCATGCCCACTTTACAACAAACGAATACAGCTGTGGAATGCCGGACAGGCTACTGACCCCAACAGACGATGATAGACGTAAGATGTTGCGTCACTCGACTTAGACGTTTCAAGGTCAACACTGTCAAGTTGAATAAGTTTTGTCGCACCGCAAAGGAAGTTTAAGATTGACATTTTACAAATGTTCATGACAACCGAAGAGGTTGACGACATTTGTCGAATATTTAATCCATAATATGAAGAGAAATTGAAAAGGCAAGCAATTACAATGAATGATAAGGGTTCATTCGTTTCACATGTCATGTCAACGATCTTGTCAATAAACTCTTTTGTTAATCATCGTCAAACTTTCCTTGAAAGCGAATGATCAACTTAACTGTGTCAATCATCAAGTTGAACAAAAGTTCACTCGCATCATCAGGTTGTTGATATGGAAAACGTTTTTGTTTAACCGAATCTTATTAAATGCGGTTTTTAACAAAAGGCAAACAAACAAAAGTCACTTAAAAACTTCCTTGGAACGATGGACAACGACATAAGTAAACGACATTGTGAAGAATAAACACAAAAGATGATTGTAAGCGGATCATTGTATCATCTTATGATGAGTTGAGAGAAAGGAAGAAAACATTTCGTTTAATACAAGGAAAGATGAACATTGAACAATAACGAGGCTGTTAAACGAAGCGAATTATATGAAAGAAAAACTTTTATCGCTTCAAATTTTTCTTCCTTCACAAGCATTTCTGGTTTTGTTAACAATTGGTCAAGGTTGTGGATTAAATTTGTGAGAACTTTCTAAACTTGAAATTGAATTCTTTATCCGAAAACTTTCACGTTTCTTCGGCAAGTTGAAGAATTAATTAGAATGAAAGTTTCATTTGAGAAAATCTTTGTGAAGTTTAGTTAACGAGGAATAAGTAAGAAGAAACAAAAAGTAATTCAGAAAACTATGTAAAGAATGAGAAATGAGACAATTAACGTATTCTGGATAATTTATGAGCAACGTCTCAAGGTTTTCAACTAAAAGCTTTATCACGTTTTATGTCTAAGCAGAAGCTTCGCATGTCTCATTGTACAAATATTTGAGAAGGTTTTCTCTTGTCACTTGTTTCACTTTAAATATTTTTATTTTTGTTGTTGTTTTTCTGCTTTTAAAATGTTCATTGATTCAATCCCACTTCGGTTAACTTTGTTGGTTTCATGAACTTGAGGTCATGCCTCCAAATCCAAAATCACAAAAGCTTTTTTAATGAATTCACGTCATTTGGTTTAACGTTCGCGATAAACTATTTTAGTGAAGAAGATTTTGTCACGTACCGTGATAAATATAAAGCGAAAAAAGACGAAGTAAAATTGTTCGCGATATATTTCGAGGTTTAAGTTGCACTGTTGAGTTGTCGGTTGCGACTCTAAGGGTTTGCTTTGAGTATCGTGATTTCATTCAACGATGAAACAGGATTTTGTGTTGGTTAATCGATCTTTTGAGATCTTTCGTTTGTCTGCATGTCTCTCTGTGGCTTTCATCGATATCGGGTGGATCATAAAATTCGACTCAATTTTATAAATGTGACATTAAATAAAATTTACATAAAAATTTCGAGAGGCTGCGCAAAAATCAAGAGGAAATGACACCGTCGTAAGCTTAAATGTGGACCATTCAAGTTAATAATAACGCATCCCTCTCCCTCTCTCATTTTTTTTGCACTTAACAAAATATTCCAACGAATTCCGATCTCCGTGTGGACTTTAGTCAATTTATTTTTGTGATAAATTTAACGGATTTTAACTGGATTTTGGTTGTTTCTTTTCAATGTTCGCTTTTAATGGAATTCCTTAAGTTACTTGCTTACATACAATGATGCAAAAGGAATGATTGAAAGTATCTTTGTGTAAAACATTTTCTTCCTATCAAAATTAAATTAACATCATCAACAATCTCATTGCGTAATTCGATACTTTAAACATCAAAGCAGCAGACGTAGGAAAAACTTCAATCGCTATGACGGTAAATTTACACGCGTTGTTCATGTCATTATCAGGAAGGTGTCACCTGAACTTGTACTAAATTTTACTCTGTCGAAGGTTGTGTAAACATCTCGTTTCAGTGTCATGGAAATTGTTTCAAATGTATCGTCCTTAAACAGAAGAAGCAGACGACAAATTAAAAGCACAATTAAATCAAAAGCTTTCTTTCAATCATCTTTGTTTGACGAGAAAGATGTTAGAGAAGAAAATACTTACGCACTTCACAAATATGTATGAAACTGGGTCAAGAGGAACTAATAATAATATTTACAACAACATAGATAGATAGAAGTTTTGTTATCGGAACCTACAATAGAGAACGGAATTGCAATTAACTTGAAAATATTTACGATGAACATCGTCGTCGATGTCGCTTGTTTGATGCGGGTGCGATGCGCACAATAAATTAGAATCATATTAATTTTGAACATGAGCTTGAAATATTTATTAAATTACTTTTTTTTGGTAGTATTCATCATTGCTGGCATGACTGTCATGTGTCGTAAATTTTCATTAACAAAGGTCGTATAACCGAGGAAGGGATTCAAAGTTATTTGAATCTTTCGACGACATTCTACCAACTCACTCGACATGAATAATAATTAACTTTATTAAAACTTTCTCAATTTTGATGTCGTCGCTCGATACTTCACATATTTTATACTTAATAAACATTTCATAAAACTTTTTGAGCATTACATTAAAATAATGAAGAAACTTGCATAACAAGTTAAGATAATTTTGTAATCGAGACTTGAACTCTTAAACTAAACCTTTAAGAAACTTTTTGAAACTTGAAAGAAGTTCTTTGTCATCAGATGAACTTGCAACTTTAATTACTGATCTAAAACTTGTAAGTAATTTAATTACCGGAATTAATTAAATTTCCAAACAATTCTCTTCTTAAAGAGTAAAAACATTTAACTATGAAAACAAAGATGCTGCTCAAGTTTCCTTCTGTCGTCTTCGAGCAACTTTGTTTACAATCTCAATAAATGTTACAAAACATATTTTTTTATTTGAAAGCTAAGCTTGAAGCTTTTATTCAACATTGTAACCCCAACTGTGAAGTGTGCTGAGATATTTGAGAGCTTAATCGTTGAAACAAATAGTAGTAAAAGTATTAATTGCTGTCATATAAAAATGTTTTACTTTATTGCATGGAAATCTTTTTCGTTAACTTCATCTCCGCTTTGAAACAGCTTCAATTGCAATTTGCAAACACTCAAATCCAAAACATTGACATTGTCGGGGTCAGTTATGCTGTTCACCGAGAGTATTTCTAAGATTTTCTTTTCATATTTATTATTCAGACATTTTTCACATTAATCTTCTTGGAACTGTGAGATTCAACATGAGTCATGAATGAAATTCGATAAAATATGCAAAAAGATTTTTTCAACTTTGATAAATATTTTGCATCTTGTTCCAGAGTAAATAAATGAAAGAAGCTTTTGAAGCATTAATTTGCATTTGCATAATAAAAATATCTGAATAATGAAGTTTTCATGCGATTTATGTACTTTAAGAAAGGTTTGCTCCTTCAAGAATTGTAATTTCCCTATTTTTGTAGGACTTTTGAATGAAGAGAGCTTTAAATGAGTAATTTCACCTTAAAAAGCTTTGCTGTAAGCTCTCAGCAATCAAATATCTGGTATCGTTAGCTTTCATTCGTCAGGAAAGAAAAAGATTTCCTCAAAGAATTAAATTCTTGGTAGGAAATTTCCACCAAAGACTGTTAACATGGAGTTCCATAAGATTTTTATCTGTTTGTTTTATTGAAATCATTTTGATCAGCTTAACTTTTATTAAATCAGGATTTAAAATAAATTTCAACAGTCAAATTTTGTACCTTGCAAACGCTTAGCTTTAACATTAATTCAACGCGACAACTTCAAATTATATTCTTTTCCGAAAACAAAATAAATAAAATAATGAACGGCATCTTTGACACACTTTTGGCATGTTTCGTTTTTGATTTCTTTCTATCTTTCTTTTTCAGTTTTTCGATTTACCAACTCACACTCTCTTGAGCACTTTAAACGAATTCAAATTGATATCTGGTTTTCTCACTGGCGCTCTTCTTATATTCTTCATATCACGTCTCTTTAAATCGGCTTTTTTTCTTTAAAGAAAGAAAGAAAAAACTTTTTCTTTCAGTTTGCATAAAATAGGCTCTCGTGAAGCATCGGAGTAATTCCAGATAAAATTATTTTTATTTCAACCCGGAAAGTTTTTCTGTTCTTTTCTTTTGTTAGATAAGTCATTTAAGACTTAAGCTTTAAACACGTTTTCTCATCTCTGCTATTAAGAATACAATTGAAAAATAAAAGGTGGATAAAGAACGCTCAGGAAGCTAAATCAACCTTAACTTTAACAAGGTACGTATGTGCGTGTTGACTTAAATCAACCCTAAGTAATCTCAGACAATATATTTGAGCCGCATAAGACAAAAGTTAAGAGAAAATAAAATTTTTATGAAGATTTACATCAACATACGAAGTGCTTTAAAGCATAATAAATGTGAAGACATTTTTATGACATTGCCGCGTGAAAGCTTCAAGGTTAATAAAACATAAAGGAAAATTAACACGAAAAAAATCATGTTTTTTGCCAAAGAAAGTTTTGATGAGATTGATGAATTTTAAGTTTGTGAATATATTAAAATCTTCAGTTAAATTTATTTATTTCATGAAAAAGTAGACAGTAATAATTGGTTAGCCTTGTGTGATCAACAAAGAAGTTACAGTTATCATCGACGACGAAATAATTTGCTGAAAAGAAAGTGAAGCAAGCAGAAGCAAAAAAAAATTGTTCAAAGAAACCAATTAGCGAGTTCGATTAAAAAGTTGACCACTTAAACATTATTGATCATAACAATAATCGTATGCTGCTTGACTTTTGTTTTCGACGACGTTGCGTCAATGACTCACGTTTCATTATAAAATGCTAATTTGTTTACAATTTTTAGTTCATCGGCAGCTTCTTTGAATTGTATCAATTTATCATGAGGGGATTGGAAATGTCCAATGATAACAAAATGAAATCAGCTTTCGATTAATGATTCATCTGAGTTCAGTAGAATCATGAAAGCTGAAGAAGCTTTGAGACTTTGATTAATGAACAAATTTTGACAGTTTGCATTAATCGAAATCCCTTAAAAAAACTTTTTTCAGACAAATAAATTGATTCTGTGTCGTGATGATAACGAGTTGGATGAAGCTTCTCATATGTGTGCTGATACTTTCCAGCGTTGTTGGTAATGTGAGTATAACGCGTGTCACGCAACAATAAATATTTGCTAAGTTTATCAAATGAATTTAAGGTTGATGTAATCATGTAAGAAATTAGGGTAGTCAAATTTTACTTGACGTTTCAATGCCTCTCACTGTGATTTATTCTCATAAATGCTTTAAAAATATCTTTTCATTTATAAAGATATTTTAATTATCTTTCAGAAGGTTTCTCTTGACTATGAAGATTATTTCAATTCCTTGAAAGATGACAATTTAATTGATTCAAACATTAACATCTCAATGTTTTATAAATGGCGACAAGGAAGGCAAAGAGATGAACGAAATCCATTTTTAGAGTGGCTTCAATATATTTTAGGGATTACAACGACAACTCCAACTCCTCCACTTGTACCACCAGATGATTGTGAAGAGTGTTCATGTGGAAAAGCAAATGGTAGAAGAATTGTGGGTGGCACTGAAACAGGCATCAATCAATATCCTTGGATGGCAATGCTTTTATATTCAAATCGATTCTACTGTGGTGCAGCACTTATAAACGACAGATATGTTCTGGGTGAGGGAAAAACAATATAAAAGATTGAAAAACATTAATAAATAATCAATCATTTTTCAGTAAGTTAACGGATAAATATGATGAATAAAAAAACATGAGAAAGATTTATTTCACATCAGACGGCAAGCCACTGTGTTCATGGATTTAATCCAACGAGATTATCGGTACGTCTTCTTGAACATGACAGATCGATTTCAACTGAATCAAAAACGATTACGAGAAAGGTGAAAGATCAATTGAGCTTTATTGTTCACAAAATATAATTTTCTCATTAAATATTTTAAGGTGAAGAGAATTGTAAAACATCCACGTTACTCACAATCAAACTACGATAATGACATTGCACTCGTTCAACTTGATGAACCTGTTGAGTTTGAAGGAATTTTAAATCCAGTTTGCTTAGCAAAATCTGGCAAGACTTACAGTGACAGTGATGTAAATGAAACTTATAATTCATCTGAATCTTTAGTTAATTTTTTAATTTTCAGGGAATCGTCACAGGTTGGGGAACATTGAAGGAAGGGTAAAGTTTTTGTTTAATTAAAAATGATCTAGAAGGCTTAATTAACAGAATATTCCTTCAGGGGTGATGTATCAAACACATTGCAAGAAGTTGTAGTTCCTATTATGACAAACAGTGAATGTAAGGCAACTGGATATGCATCAAGTAGAATTACTGAAAACATGCTTTGTGCTGGCTTTGAAGAGGGAAAGAAGGACAGTTGCCAAGGCGACAGTGGTGGTAAGTCGCCAACTTAAAATCGATTCCTTAATTGATGATAATTGTTTCCTATTATGTCGATTCCAGGACCCCTTCATGTTTTTGACAGCGAGAAACAAATTCATGAAATTGTTGGTGTTGTGTCGTGGGGCGATGGATGTGTAAGTTGATTTATTTACTTAAACTATAATAATCGTTATTACAGCCATTTAAGAAGAAGATTCTTCCTTACTTTTGCTTTTCAAATGCCTTTTAAAATTATTGCCTGAAATAATTTTAATTTTTAAAAGTCATTGAAATATGAAGGAAATTTACATTTCCCCAAAGTATCTAAGCTGTCGCTTTTCATATCATTTAATTTTCAAATGTAATTTATCTTAATTTAACCCTTCGTATTTCTTCCCAGGCGAAAAAAGACTACCCAGGCGTTTATGCACGAGTAAATCGATACTTAAAATGGATCAAAACGAACACAATTGATGCGTGCAGTTGCTCGTAATTATTTTCACCACTTTTAATAAAAGTCTTCTGACATTTCTAAATTGAGACAATTTTTTATTTGTCAATAAATTATTTCTATTACAATTAAGTTTGTTTACTTTCTTGACTTCTCTTTCCTTGAGTTTCAATTTCGGTTAGCCCTGTAAAGTTTCTTTCATCATCTCCACAATTGCACTTTAATTTTTATTCTTATTCAGAGAAAGTTTTCACATTTAAAGCTTCCACATTTACACACTGAGTGAGTTTTGTAGCTTCAGCATTTCGAAGCTTTTTATTTAAATAAAAACATTAATTTCCTCGTCGTTCAACATAATCTTGGTATTTGATTCTCTCCTGAACTTCTCCTCCAAGCCTAAGAAATGGACATTGAGAGGCACTTTTAGTTTCCATTTAACATTTCTAAAATTTTGTTTTGATGTTTGTACCGCTACTTCGTCGATGGGATGAAATGTCGTCAGGTCCTTCTTCAAGCCAAAAGGTTTCCATTTCGCCTTTTCCCTGTAATCGAAATAATTTTTTGTTTTCTATAATTTTAATGGAAAAAGTTTTAATGAAGGATTTATGTCTTGCCTTAACTGTAACAAGACCACGATAAGTGACGCGGTATCCCAACTTCTTCAACTTTTTGGCTGAGTGTCCTGAAACTTGGATTCGATTTGATTCCCCGCTGCTCTCCATTCGACTTGCGGTATTGACAGTATCGCCGAACAAACAATAACGTGGAACTTTTAATCCAACAATGCCAGCGACAACGGAACCTGAATGAAAACCTAAAGAACGGCAAAAAAGTTTCTCTGAATTCGGAGAATATCCAGAGAATTTATTAAATAATAAAATTTACCAATTTTGACAGTGACGCCATCAATTTGAAGATTTTTGATGCTGTCAAGCATTTGAAGTGAAAGGTCAGCAGCATGTTGTATGTGCAGTGGATTCTCGTCAGGTGCACCAGACACTGCCATGTAAACTTTTCCAACAGTTTCCACTTTGTAAGCGTAAGGTGATTGAATCAACTCATCAAATGCTGAGAATGCTGCATTGAGAGTCGTCACTGTATTCATTGCCGATTGAATTTGATTGTGTTCAGTATTGTCAGCTTCCTGGATTTCAGCAAAAATCACTGTGACTTCTTCAAAAGTCTGGCATGTCGTCAATGGGTCTTGTCCATTACGTAGTCGATCAGCGACTGTTCTTGGAATCATCGAATACAAAAGTTCATCGCCCTGTTTCTTCCAAGAGTCAGCAAGATTCAAAGAAGTTTCCAACTCTTCCGCTCGATTCTCTTCACGTTCACACATCAAGTCAAGACGCGAATAATGAGAAAACCCAGAGAAAACCATTTCACGACTGAGTCCATGCGGGTTCAGATCATTTAAGTAAAGTCCCATTTCACGAAGTTCATCCAAATTATTAATTCTTTAAGTTTTAAATTAAATTAAATTAAATTTATGAACAAAATTGAAATCTTACAAAGGGCTGCAAAGGAAAACCAACATGTTGACGTCTTTCAAGTATCTCATTTCACCTTTCAACAAGATACTTCGAAGACCTTGAGATCCACGTCGATCTTTCGGTAAAATTCCATTAACTTCATCTCTACTGAACTCAGGAACTCCCATTTGTGAATCAAGATCTGCATAACTTTCAGGTCCACCTGGTTTTAACCGACCCTGAGCATCAGTTGAACTGTTCTCTGCTTCACTCTCAGGTTCTTTTGCTTTCAGCAATTGAATTTCAAACAACACCGCTTGCAGTGTCGTGACCTAAGAATAACTCGAATCATGAATTAGTATGAATCATTCTACGGTGATCACTAACATCTCTTACGGTCTCAAAGTCAAACTTTATCCCAGTGGGACGTCGAAGTTTAAAGAAACGAGTGATTGGACTGCCAATGAGTAAATTCGGGTGCTTATTCTCATTGTTGGCAGACCACGCTTCAATTAAGTTATTTCCAGCGGCCACAATCAGCATTTCGCTGTTCAGAATTATTCCTGATGAAGACGATGATTTTTTTGTGAGATGGTGCGGAATTTACCGTGATTTGTACAGTTTAGTGTGCAATCAGTGAACTCAACTTACTTTAAAACCGAAAAAGTTCAAAGTTATAAAGCACAGAAATTAATTTTAGGTGAGATTTGATTTAATTTTCTTTACTAATTGATT